TCAAAAATTGGGGTCTTCTTGCATCTACTCATCATCTGCCAGGAGCGTGCGAGAATCGATCGTCTCACCCACTCAAGTCGAAAGCTGATTAGATATAGGCAGTTGCCATACCCCATTTTTGTCCGAGTCTTAGTTACTTTTAATTATATTTTTTATTTCGAATGAGGAGCGTAGCTCAAGTGGTTGAAACGAGAATTAAGGAGTTACAAGCATAATGACCCGAGTTTGAATCCCATTGTGCTCCTTTTTACTATTTTTGACAATTTATTCACCTTTTCACTCACTTTTTGTTTTTTTTATTTAATTTTCGTTTTTTAATTTAGGAAATTTTTAATAATTATTTTTTAAATTTTATTTTATACATTTTTTTATTAAAATAGAGTCCAAAAATTAAATAAAAATCAAATCTTTTTCATTTTTTGTCACACTATGTCTTGATTGGTCAAATTGTGTCATATTTTGTCACAAGTTCATTATGATTGGTAATAGTTTGTCATAAATTAATTATTTCCCTTTTGTTGACCTAAAGTCTTCCTATAAATACAACCTTTTTTCCTCACAATTTTCTTATCCGCAATTCATAAAATCCTACCATAAAGTTGTTTCTTTTTACACTGAACAACTTTTACCTGAGAATTTCGACTAGAGAGCTAAAAGAAGAAAAAACTTAGTGAAAATTAGCAAAAGGGTGATTTTCCGAGCTAGAGGTCGAAACAACGAACAAAGGTGACATTCAACGGAGAAAGGACGATTTGAATTTCGAATCAGGGATAATAGCGCTTCGAAAGGAAAAGATTGCCAGCAAAGCAACCCGTTTCTGCAATTCTAATTTGTCCTTATCCAGTTGGCCATACGGAGACACTTCGTTGAGCATACGCCATGCAGTTGGCGAACGTGGCTTCGTAGCGTAGCAAGACCGTTAGGTTCGAAACACTATAAATAGGAGTTTTATTTTCTAGTTTAGGTGTGTGAAATTGAAAACAAAAAATTTGTAAAGAACACTCAAAGTACCAGCACAGAGAAACGAGTTTCGTAAAGATGTATGTATCCAAACACCATGTGTATATTCTTTTCCAGATTACTTAATTATTTTAATAAAAGCATTTTACCATTTAATACATTTTTCCTGTCTTTCTGATCTGCCGTCGAATTACTCCATCTCTTTATACTTTAAACACTTTTTCTGTAAATTTACATTAAAAGCAGTTATACTTTTTGCACGGTTTACTTCATTTGTCAAAACACCTTTACATTTATGCATTTACATTTATTATCGAAAGCACTTTCTTTTAATCAAACTCTTTATTCAGTTTAAAGCATTTCAAGTTTTAATACAATTACTTTTTCATTGCAATTTCCAATTATTCCAGTTTATCATTGTTATGCAATCTAACATTCTTGTCAATTAAATCTTGTTATTTCATAAGTCTTTAAACATTTCAACAACTTTTAACACCCAAAATACACAAAACCAAAGATGAACATGAAAACTAATAAAACACTTAACCCTACGACTATGTCCTGAGATCAATCTAGTCGGTCCCGCGAGCAACCGAGAGCTCGAGGAGACCCTTTGGAGGACTAGAGTTTGTTCGACCAAATTTCCAGGCGAACAAATTGGCACGCCCAGTGGGACCATGTCGTAGTTTTTTTTAGTTTTAGGAATAACATCTAGTTAAGAAATTACCTTTTGAGTATTTGGGAAACCAAGGAAAGTAAATGCGCCTTAGGAGTGGGAATACCATCGATAACAACCGCCCAATACACAAAAGAAAATATACAGTAAGAATGGTTGAAACTAACCATAGTGGGGGACAAGATCCACCACCAAGTTCTGACACTGCCGTTGCAAGTTCGACAGGTGTTTTAGAGCCAATCCCTAGCATGAATGTTAATCCCAATACCCAACAAGTTCAGGGATCTATGGGATCCCTGCCTTCGAATTCCTCAACAACGTTGCCTTTTTCCACCAGTCTAGGAAATGTAAAAACAAGTAACCAATTTGCACCAATACTCACGCCTGTAGGAAATCAGGCACAAGTTTCGACCCCAACTAGGCCCCCAGGTTTTGAGACGTCTTAAAGGGAACAACCACTCTATGGAATGCCAACTTATTTAATGGCTGGAATACGTAGTCAACCCTCATTATATACACAACCCTCAACCTCAATAATTTTTCCAGTACAAGGATCAGGGTCTGGTGCAAATGTAATTGGTTGAAACACCCAAAATCAGGGTTCTCAATTACCCACTTTGACCACCAACACCCAGGTTGTGTTTAGGCAGGAAATGGATGTCAGTAATCAAAGCATGTTGGGGTTACTTTCCAGGGAAATGAACACTGCCAACATGATGAATAGAGAGAACGTTGAGACTAATCAATGAATGGCAGCGCAGATAGCGCGCTTGGCAGATTTCTTTGGTGCTCCTGAAGTGCCCATTCGACCTAGGAAAAATCAGATTGTAGTTCAAGATGAAGAACCCATAATTAACCAAGTCAGACTTCCTAGACAAGAGTCAGTCAAAAGAAACATAAGGATGAGAGAACAATTAGAAGGGATTCGACAAGAAGTCCCTGAAGAACCACCTAGGTTGATGGTAGTAAATAGAGGCCAGAATGTTGACGAAGTAGTACAAAGGGTCAGACAGGATAATGTATTGGCAGAAAACAATTTGAACAATCTAATTGAGAGAATCATTACCCAAAATGGTCTCAATACAAGGGTTCACATGCCCAATTATACATCCCCTATAGTAGACTATGTATTGCAAACTGGATTTCCAAGGGGCTGCAAAGTCCCCAAGTTCACAAAATTTCTAGGGAATACCAGTTAATCTACTGTCGAACATATAGCAAGGTATATGACTGAGGCCGGAGACTTGGCAAACAATGAAAGCCTGAGGATTAAATATTTTCCCAGTTTGTTAACAAAAAAAGATTTCACATGGTTCACTACCTTACCTTGAGGATCCATGGATGCCTGGCCTAAACTTGAAAGATTGTTCCATGAACAGTTTTACATGGGACAAACTAAAATAAGTTTAAAAGAATTGGCTAGCATAAAGAGAAAATTCATTGAACCCATAGATGAATACTTGAATAGATTCCATTTATTGAAATCTAGATGTTTCAATGTAATACCAGAGTATGAATTAGTAGAAATGGTCGCAAGTGGTTTAGATTATTCAGTAAGAAATAAACTAGATACTCAGTATTTAAGGGATATGGCCCAATTGGCGGATAGAGTTCTCCAGGTCGAACACTTGAAGGCTGAAAAATCCAGGGCCAACAAAAACTATAAAAAAGAAAGAGTGGCTTATGTCGAAGTAGAAGAAAAGCTAGAAGCATTCAATGATCTTTATATGATTACGAAGAATGTGAAATAGATGTGGCTGAGTTGAATCGGGCACCTCCATATGCATGTAAAATGCTTGCTCCTTCGAATGGGAAGAATCATGTCAAAAAAGAAAAATATGATAGATTCCCAAAGAAAATATATACTTTCGACATAACCAAATGCGACAAATTTTTTGATTTGTTAGTTAAAGATGGCCAAATGATTGTTCCCCCAAATATTAAAATTCCTCCTATAGAACAAAGTAGGAGTGTTCGCGGTGCGGTTTGGGCGATTTTTATGAAAAAATTCATCCGAACCGCAAGAGAAAAAAACATGCGGTTTGGTTTGGTTCGGTTGAGATTTAAAAAAATCCTAACCAAACCAAACCAAACTAACGCATTTTAGTTTGGTTCGGTTGGTTCGGTTTTTAGCAAGATTTTTATTAAGATATACATATATGTATAAAGGATAATGTAACACTCTAAATCTACCCCGATAAATTGCAAATAAATAATCAGATTTAAAGTATTCATTCACATAGAAATAGAAATTTACTTAAAACATCCAATCAATAAGTACACCTGTCACACATTTATTTATAAAACATAAAGGCTTTATCTAAGCCAACACCTATATGAATATCCAATAAAGTAGCGTATTTACTAGAATTTAAATCAATCAAAATGCCATCACGTGTATCATGATCATCAAACAGAAATATGTTATTCATTGTAATCTAACATCATATTACTAGTTAAACATAACAAGGTTCAGAATTCAAAACAGTATAACACCCAGACACCCTAGAGTTCTACAACTAGAGCAGACACCAGACTCGACTAAGGAAGACTTATCTCCCTCACACCAAAGCATCCTACTTGGGATCACCTGCACATTACCCATAGGGTAACGTTAAACCACAGAAAAGGGGTGAGATATCATGAAATTCTAATGGAAAGCATAACACATACATAGTCAGAATCATAACATGCTTCCATAATTAAATGATATTCACAAAAGCACCAAAACACCAAATACATCGACACAAATCACCAATATAACAACATCAACAACATCACGATAGATATATGCAAAGTGTAACACCCTTCTAGCCCCGCGGAATAATTAAATAAAATACTCAGAGTAAACATGAATAAGCAAGGTTGTCACAACACACATATTCAAAACCTGTCATGTTATAGCCAACCAGAGGAACAAAACATATAGATCATCATTTATAATCATGTTTTAAACACAGCGGAAATCATTGTTTTCACATTGGAAATTTATTGATAAAATAAAGTATGTCTAAGGTCTCCACCTTAACAACATTATCCAAACAACAAAAAGAAAACAGAGTTAAAATCAACCCGATGTTACACTATCGGAGCATCACCAACTATAAAATAAAAGAGATAGCTCCCACTTCTATCCTCACTGCGACTAAGTAGCTACTCCTCAATCTGAAATATTAACCACAGTCAGGGTGAGAAAACATCATAATTTACCAAAGATTATAAGCTCGTACATAATCAGAATAGCATAAATAATCTAAGCACTCTATCAACATATTGTCAGATTAGGAACTACTCAATTCTAACAAATTCACAACATAACATATTCATTCAGCACACAATGACATATAACTCGAATGCAACTCCATCACAACATTGGCAAACTCCCATTCATGTTATGACACAACAACAACAATATGCAGAGAGACCAACCGACTCTATGCATGTGGTACCAACCAACCAGAACAACAAGTTCTGCCACCAATACATCTCTATGGATCCGGTCCACCGATTCATCTCTATGAATCAGGTCCACCGATTCGTCTCTATGAACCCGGTCTGCCTTGAAATCCACTAATTCCACACAATGGGAATTAGCACAACGACTCATGTATACATGCACAAATCAAAGCACACTTACCATCATCTCATGATAATGTACAACCAATTATCATATCACAACAATCATATAATAGCATATCACATCATGCATTATAATCAAACCACGCGTTATGCATCATCTCTATAATGCCATAATCAAACATACAACATTTATGCAATCACATATAATAACATACTTAGCATAAATCTTATAATGGCAATTCATTATTATTATACGCACAAAGTCAATAACAACCACGATTTACAATTATATCGTAATTGTTCAAGTACACAAACATAATTACATACTATCTCTTATAGCACCGTAACTACTAAAATGCAGCCACAACACAAGTACAACAACAACACGATTATAAACGCAAATTTAGAACGGTACTACACTCATTGCCGATCACAATTCAAGTGTACATACACTTACATTTCAATTTGTATTTAATCGGGAAAATCACGACTTTTCGATTTAAAAATAGTTTACCATCCCAAAAGTAATTGTTTTATAAAATATTTATTTTTTGAACCCGTTGTCAAAAACGGCACTCAAAATGGGCTTACGGTTTGAAAAATACGTTCAAAAAAATTTTAGAAAATATTTTCCAAAAACACACAGTGGTACAATTAACACCAATGTGTAATTTAACCAACAATTTCAAAATAAAATATAGCTACTGCCCATTAAGTCATTTTATCAAATAGTACACTCAATTACCTTTCTAATGCTCAAAGCGGCGCTCAAAACAGATTTACGGTTTGGAAAATATGAATTTTCAAAGATTAAGTATTTTTCCAAAAGACACAGTGGTAACCGGTTGTTGCATAACTGACAACCGGTTACACAACCCTTCTCTAAATGCCAATTTGATTCTATTTCGCCTATAACCGGTCAGCACATTTTTGACAACCGGTTACTGACGTAAAAAGTCAGAAAATTCAACTTTTCCATACCCAATCCCAACTTGATTTCACCCAAAACGAAAATACATTCAAAATCAATATTGCACACATATCACATCAGATAGATAGCATCATTACCACACTTATTAACATCTATTCTACCTCGATTAATCCAATTGTGCCAATTTTATCAATTCTACCAATTTCATCAATTTAGGGTGTTCTTCCCTAATCCTTCAATCATGCTAATATGGTGAATTAGAGAACCTATCCTACCCTAAACCACATACAAACCCATAATCAGAGATAAAAGAGAGATTTCCCCCCTTACCTTGGGAATTTTGGAGGCTTCTGACAATCTCTGAGTCTGTTCTTTCTTCTCCTCCTTTGCACTTCTCACGTGTCTGCTTTCTCTTCTATTTCTGCTTTCCAATTCTCTATATTCCAAATAACTTTATTTTTATTAAAACTCATAAAATACTTAAGTGATTTACTCTTCCATACCCCCTTTCTTTACTAACCACATTCTTGGCCCAATTCCATTTTCTCCAATTCCAATAATTTAAATAATTATCTCAATTAAATTAAATTATCAAAATCACTTAATTTAGCCAATTAATTCCAATTTCAATTAATTTAATAATTTAAAATTCAGGGTGTTACAACTCTCCCCCACTAGAATAGTTTTCGTCCTCGAAAACGTACCTCAAACAAACAGTTATGGATAGGAGTCCTTCATCTGACTCTCCATCTCCCAAGTCACATTTCCTCCTGCTGGTCCTCCCCAAGCCACTTTAACCAAAGTGATCTCTTTGCCTCTGAGTTGCTTTATTTCTCATCCTCAATTCTCATTGGTAACGTTTCCACAGTCAAATTGTCTCTTACCTGCACATCGTCCACTTGGATCACATGTGAAGGATCCGCAATATATCTCCTCAGCTGAGACACATGGAATACATCGTGAAAATTGGAAAGTATCGGTGGAAAAGCAATCCGATAAGCCACTTCTCCAACCCTCTCCGTAATTTGAAACGGACCAATAAACCTCGGAGTCAATTTCTCCGACTTCAAAGCTCGACCAATACCCGTCATAGGAGTAACCCGCATAAACACATGATCTCCTGCGCTGAATTCAAGAGTCTTCCTCCTCTTATCATGATAACTCTTCTGACGACTCTGAGAAGCTCTCATCTTCTCTTGGATCATCTTGATCTTCTCATTAGTTTGTTGGACAATCTCAGGTCCGATCACTGCACTCTCACCAGATTCATACCAACACAGAGGTGTCCTGCACCTTCGACCATACAACGCCTTGAACGGAGCCATACCAACGCTCGAATAGAAATTGTTGTTATAGGTGAACTCAATCAATGGTAAATAACTATCCCATGCTCAATCTTTTTCCAACACACAGGCACGCAAAAAATCCTCTAACGACCGAATAGTCCTCTCAGTCTGACCATCTGTCTGCGGATGATAAGCAAAGCTCAATCTCAGCTTAGTACCTAAGGCTTTCTGCAAATCTTCCCAGAACCTTGATGTAAACCTCAGATCTCTATCCGACACAATACTAGACGGAATACCATGCAAGCAAACTATCTTCTCAACATACAATTGAGCTAGTTTCTCCATCGGATAATCCATCCTCACTGGTATAAAATGGGCATATTTCGTCAGTCTGTCCACAATGACCCAGATAGCCTCATAGTTCTTAACTATACTCGGTAACCCAGACACAAAATCTATCGCAATGCTATCCCACTTTCATTCTAGAATAAACAACGGTTGCATAAACCCAGATGGCTTCTGATGTTCAATCTTTGACTTCTAGCAAGTCAAACAAGAATACACAATTTCTGCAATCTCCTTTTTTCATTCCTGGCCACCAAAACAGCCTTTTCAGATCATGGTACATTTTAGTAGCACCAGGGTGAATACTTAACCCACTTCGATGTCCTTCTTCAAGAATAATCTTCTTAAGCTCAGGAACATCCGGAACACAAATCCTATCACCAAATCTCATAACACCATTCTCGTCAATTCTTAAGTCGCCTCATTTGTCTTGGTTAATCAACGTCAAAAGATCAACCAACCCAATATCATATTTCTGACCCTCTCGAATTTCCTCAAGAACTCCACTAGGCAGCTTCAACATACCCAGTTTAACACTATTAGGAGTGTCTTCGCATACCAAACTCAAGTCTCTGAATTTCTCAATTAAATCCAATTCTTGTGCCATCATCATATACATATGTAGAGACTTCCTACTCAACGTATCTGCAACCACGTTTGCTTTACCAGGATGGTAATTCAAACCAAAATCATAGTCTTTTAGAAATTCTAATCATCTTCTCTGCCTCATATTGAGCTTCTTCTGATCAAAGAGATATTTCAAACTCTTATGATCACTAAACACTTCAAACCTCGAACCATACAGATAATGCCTCCACAATTCCAAAACAAAAACCACATATACCAACTCTAAGTCATGAGTCGTGTAATTCCTTCCATGCACTTCCAATTGCCTTGAAGCATAAGCCACTATCTGCTGATTCTGCCTCAAAACACCACATATACCCATCAAAGAAGCATTATAATATACAACAAAAGATTCCGCCGGATTCGGAAAAATTAAAATCGGAGCACTAGTCAACCCCCTCTTCAACTCTTGGAAACCTTTTTCACAATCAGAATCCCATATAAATACTTGTCCTTTTCTCGTTAACTTAGTTAACGGCAACGCTAGCTTTGCAAATTCCTCACTGAATTTTCTATAAAACCTGCAAGACCAAGAAAACATACTTTGCTTAACCGAATTTCACACTCAGACAATTTGCATCAAGCTCTTTCTTTTCCAATCTCGCCAACGAGGTACGAACTTTTACGATCCATTACACAATCTCTTTTACCCTCATAACAGTAATGGTTACTCTATTTCCACAATGGAATCTCTTTCCATCCCGTCTTCAATACTAATCTAACATCCGATTGGCGATAAAATTTCTCAAGTTCTTCCGGTGTCTCGCTACCATACAAGGTCCACTTTTACAATTTACTTATCAATAACTCTTCGCATTAAACTTTGTCTCAATGAACACCTTACTTCATTTCCAACAATGCGATAGTAATCCGCTAAGCTCACAAGTTTCCAATCTCTACAACCGACTTTGTAACTCTCACTGTAGAACTACATCCACTTGGATGGATTCACATATACCATCATCTGAAACGACATACTCAGAAACTCGCTTCTTTAAAACGAATTCACACTTTATCAACTTAGCACCAAGTCCTTATTCTGAATTAGAATAAATCAGGAGGTTCCCAACGACACCACGTACCAAAAGTTAAACAGACTCGTCGAATTTTTATTTGACTGCGTGCAAAAGTTAAAAATATTTATTTTCAGTTTATGCCTGAAAATGACCATTTTATGAGACTCCTGATTGCGTAGTTTGCGTCAGTGCGTTCAAAGTTAATTTTAAGTTAAATAAATGAATCGATTATTTTATTGGCTGATTTCATGAAAATGCTGTGAATATTTCTTTCGAGTTTCAAAACCAAAGTCCATATTTCTTGAATCGATATTCCGTATAGGTTATTTTGGTTTGCTCGTTAGAATTGTTCGACTTTATTTCAGTTGTTTTTAAACTGTTTGTGCCTGTTTTATCGGGTATTTTTACTTTAATAAATTTCGGAGACTTTTTAAAATCGTTGTCACGTGTCGATCGTGTCAACACGCTCTTTTATTTTTCAGTTTAGCAGTCATTTTATTTTAATTATTTTCGGTTAATTCCGATCATTTTTCGTCTTATAAAAATTTGCAAAAAATTGTTTTTAGGCCATTTAAATAGTCATAGTATTTATTTTCATAAAATAAAATCGGGAAGGGCATTTTAGGCCTTTGTTAAATTTTGTTTCTTTCATTTAATTAATTAAATCATTTTCCACATGTCCATGTGCCACATGTTTGCACCAATAACATGGTGACACATGGCATTGTGATGCTTTAAATATATTTTCAGATTTTGCAAATTATAGTTTAATCATGTGTTGTTTTGGTCCAATTAAGAGGTGTCATGTGTGCATTATGATGCA